TTTTATTGATATATTTTAAAGAAAATTAAAAATTAAAAATAAATGTATATATTATAATAAAAAATAAAATATTATAGTAATAAATCATATAATGAGCAATTCAAGAATGGATTAAAAAAAAAAAAAGGAATTGGTAAAAAAAACCCCAAAAAAATAAAAAAAAAAACTACAAAATTACATTATTTTAATAAATTCATTTTGAAAAAAATAAAAACAACATATTCTAAAAATGGGAGTGCTTTGATTTTGATGAAATAATGTAATTTTGAGGTATTTTTCTCCTCATTTTTTGGAAGTTATATTGATGAATACTAATATTATAAAAAAATATTAGAATATTTCTTTTAGAAAATGAAGATTAGTTTTGATTGATTTAGCACAAAAATGATTATAAATTCAATATAAAAATGTACCTCAATGCCATAAAAAATTTTAAATTATTATATAGAATATTAAGAAAGAAAATAAAAAAATACTAAAGAAAACTATAAATTTAAAGTTGATTAAATAAAAAATCAAAGTTTTTCTTTTTTTGGGGCTTAATAGATAAAGAAATATTTGAAAACCCAAATTTCTAATTAATTAAATTACCATAAAGTTCATTTTAATTAAAATCATATCCTTATTTTTTGAAAAATTTTTATTTAAGTTATAAATATTCTCTCTACATTTGAAATGATTCTTGAAATTCATATTATAACATAAAATTTTTAACAAATAAAAGCTAGAGTACCATATTAAATGTTTTTTAAAAGTTTAGGGGGGGCGGCTGCCCCCACTTTTCCTTTATTGGCTCCGCCCCTAGTCATCAGCCTCCTGCAAGAAAAAATCAACGTGCCCAGTGGGCGAAAAGTATAATTTCCATTTTCCAAAAGTGAAACAGCTATTTGCAATCAGTTTCAAGAAAGTTAATCTTCAATTTGGTCCTTAAACTATTATATGGACCTTTGATTTGGTTTTTAAATTAAAAAAATCATTGATTTGATCTTTGAATTATTATACGGACGCTCAATTTGGTCCTTACTGTTTACCAATTTACCCTAAATTAGTCATTTCATACAAAAAAAACTGACATGTCTAATATTTAACGACAAAAAATAGTAATTTAACGACAAAAAACAATGACTTAATGGCTACGTGTCATATTAATAATGAAACAACTGAAACACGTCAGTTGTTTTTGTATAGAAAAATCAACTTGGGGCAAATTAGTAAACAGTAAGGATCAAATTGGGGATCTGTATAATAGTTCATAAACCAAATTAAAAAATTTTTTAATTCATAGATCAAATTAAGAATTTTTTAATTCATGGATCAAATTAAGGGTCTATATAATAGTTTAGAGATCAAATTAAAGATTTAACTTTTCAAGAACTAATTGAAGGTAGTAACCCCTATCAATAGCAAGGGAAAGACTGTCACGGATACCCCATAATCCAGCTGCCAAACTAGTAGTACACGCAACATTTCTAGCAAAACCTGTGTACCAATTACCAAATTCTTCTCTTATAATCCCTACTGCACCAAATTGTCCATGATTCGGTGAGGCCGAACCATCAGTGTTAAGCTTGGCGAATCCATAGTTTGGCAATATTTCTCAATACTGGAGAGGATTTATTCATGTTAGATTTGGGATCTGTAATTCATAGTTTCTTCGAAAAGAAAGGCAAAGAGGGTGATATGATCATGAAGCTTGATCTTAATAAGGCTTATGATCGGATTGAGTGGGTTTTATTAGGGAGGCCCGGCTCTTTTTTAATTTTCCCCCTTCATTCATCTCTACTATCATATCATGTGTCTCCTCATCTAAGCTTGATAAAAGGTGGACCCTTATCCCTTTACTTGTTTCTACTGTGCACTGAGTATCTCTCCTTGAGGATCCAAGGGAATACATCTGGGAATGGCTGGAAGGGCTCTAAGTTGGGAAAGAGTGGTCCTACTTTTTCTCATATTTTTTTAGCAGATTACCTTGTGTTCAATGGGAAAGCCACTCTGCATAACGCTATCTATCTGAATGATTTATTAGGCTTTTTCTGCTCTAGGTCTGGACAGAAGATCAATCTCTCTAAATCCAAAATCTTATTCTCAGATAATGTCAAGGACTCTACTCGAAGGAGCCTTTGCAGTAAACTCAGTATCTCTGAAACTCTTTCCTTGGGTAAATGCCATGGTTTCCCCATCGTAGCCAAGCTGTTTGGCAAATCTGACTGCAACTTCATTGTTGATAAAGGATAGCAAGAAACTTGCTGGGTGGAAATCGAACATGCTCTCACTGGCAGAAGAGCAACCCTTGTTTCTGCTGTCCTTTCAGCTATCCCAAATTATTATATCTTACATCTTTCAGAGTCTATCCATAAGGAGTTGGATGGTATTTCCAAACAGTTCCTTCTGGGTTCTACCAGTGAGAAAAGAAAAGCCGAATTGGTGTTAGGTCTTCCAAGGAGGCTAATCAAGCATCCATGGCTACAGTCCAGTGGAGGATGCTCACGGAGAAGGATAGATTATTTTACAATTTATGAGTACGAATCATAGCATAGGATAGCCCCTTAACA